GTCCGGTGCTCTCGCTGGCTGTTGGGGCTGGGGGTGGATCTGGCTGCTTTCCCCCAACCCTCGGGCTCCCGCGACAGGGACCGTGCCCCGGCAGCACATGAGGGCACCGTCCCCTCCGGCGCTGGCACTCCCTGGCAAAGCCGGCGGTCCTCTCACCGTGCCCCTTGGGTTTCAGGCTCCCTGCAGAACGGCTCCCGCTGGGCGCTTTCCTTCGACATGTCCTCCCTCTCCAGCAGCCAGGAGGTGAACCTGGCCGAGCTCCGTGTCCGCCTGCCCGGCTTCTCCCCAGCCCGCAATGTCTCCCTGGACATCTATCACAGCCGGCGGCGGAGGTGCCGGGGCAGTGGGACCTGTGCCCACCAGCTCTTCCTGGGCACCGTGGCTGGCAGCCCCTCTTCCACCCAGGCCTCCTGGAAAGTCTTTGAGGTCACCAGACTGCTCCGGTCCTGGCTCCACCAAGCCATGGCCCCCGCGCACCACGGTCCCACGGGAAGGGAGTCGTGGGAGGCGAGTGGGTCGGCCACCCCAGCCACCGCCTCAACGCGCTTGCCCACCTCGAGCAACGCTGGCCACACGGGCAGCCAGCCCTGCCCCAGGACGTGACGGATGGAGTCCTGCTGCTCGTCTTCTCCAGGGACAAGTCTCCGGGAGACCACAGCCTCATCAGGACAGCGGAGACCTCCAAGCACGTCATGCGTGACAGCAGCTCCCAGGGCACGGGGACCCGCCGGCATCGCAGGAACAGGAAGGAGAAGCAAAGGATCAAAGTGAGCGATGCTGCTGCTGCCGTCCCAGGGGAGGAGGGCAGGTCCTTGTGCAGGAGGGTGGACATGATGGTGGATTTCGAGCAGACCGGCTGGGGCAGCTGGATTGTCTACCCCAAAAAGTACAACGCCTACCGGTGCGAAGGGCAGTGTCCGTCACCCGTGGATGAGACCTTCAAGCCCACCAACCACGCCTACATACAGGTAAGAGGGGGTTGCTACCTCCGCTCCCCCCACGCACCCCTAGCCCCACCAGCCCGCAGCAGGGGACAATTCTTTGCCCTTCCCGTGTCTCCCCACAGAGTTTGCTGCAGCTCTACAAGCCCAACCAGGTGCCCTGCCCCGCCTGCTCCCCGGTCAGGATGAGTCCCCTCTCCATGCTCTACTATGAGAAGGGTGAAATCGTCGTCCGCCACCACGAGGACATGATCATCGAGGAGTGTGGCTGCAACTGAGACCAGCTCATCCCCTGCCGGGAAGGGGCACATCTCTGCCCAGAAAGTGGCCCTGAGGACTGGCCGCCCAACCCATGACCAACGCGCAGACCAGGGCACCACTGAGCCCCCTCCACCTCCGAATCCTGCGTGCCCATGGGTTGGCGAAGCTCTGGCTGTGCCAGGGCAGAAGGAGTGGGGTACCTGGGAGTTAGTGGCTCTGCGGCACTGCATGGCCGCAGTGCATGGACGGATCCAGGCTACGCACGGGGAGGGCCATCAGACACCTCGCTGCAGCACCGAGGCGGTGGGTGCCTGACGGCTGCATTTAGCCAGGAGCCACAGTGCTGGTGGCCGGTGTGTGCCGGGGCAGCTGAGGGCTGGTGCTGCTCCACAGAGGCAGGAGCCAGGGCGCAGGGCTGGAGCCACGGCAGCATCGCTCCCTGCCATGACACGCTGCCCACGGTGACGCTCCTTTTGCCCGCGATAGGTATCACTGGTAGCTACGGGCTCTCGGCGGGACACTGCAGGACCAGCGTCCGCCCACACTGAGCGTCTGCACCGTCAGGATTTTCAATCTCCCCCAGGATTTAGGCATTTCTCTTAAGACTTCTATTATATTTCTATTAAAACTCTATCAGATTTCTATTACAATTAAGCCAAGTTAATGTGTTAGCCCAGTGTCCAGAGCCCCCATCCGGCAGCGCCACGTGGGCAGCAGCAGGCAGGGGTTCATGTCAGCCTGCTCCTGCCCTGAGCCGCGGGGCTGAGCATGGCCCCGGGGGGGATGGCCCCGGGAGGAGCTGGCTGGCAGCAGGCAGGGAGGCAGCGACCTCCATCATATACACTCCTCGCCCAGGACTACGCAGGGAATGATGCAAAAGACCTGGGGCTCCAGCATCCCTCTCCAAAGCATCATCCGTTCACCAGAGAGGGTTTGCACGGGCAAGTGAGGTGTCCCTGGAAATAAGGCAGCCCCGAGGTCGGTCTCGGTGGGTCTGAGCCCCCCCCCAGCCCTCCTCCCTGCCCTGACCATCTCGGCTCATGTGCTGCTTTCCTCTGTAAAATGACGGCTTTGCTCAAAACTTTTCCACCACTTGCTGGATGGGGCAGTAGTGAAAGGGTCGTGGTTGTATAACTCATCAATAAATTATGTATATTAAAAATGCCTGGTAGATTCTGCTGATTTCCACAGCCCGTTTTTGCTGTCGAATGGTCTTTCAGGGTGCAATTCCCTCCAGCTCTCTGTGCATCTGCTGCACCCAGAGGCTCTCCCTGCCCCGGGATCGTCTCTGGCTGCAGCCTGCTCTGTTACTGCCCGGCAAAACCAGCAATACCGGGCGGTAACACCCAGAGCAAGTGGGCTGCTGCCGTAACTTGCTAGAGCAAGGGGGTCCCCTCGAATGGTGCAAAAGATGCTCAACAGCTCCGTGAACAGGAAAGTTGGCGTGAGATAATGAAGAAGGTGTTCCCTCCGTGACAGGGGCGTTGCTGAAGAGCAAGCCGGGAAGCACCTGCAGGCGTTGAATTGAATGCTAAGGGGATTTTCCACCTTTATTTACCCCTTGGAGATAAGGGGAAGGGCCATGTTCTCTAATAGCAATGGCTTTTAAGCCATGTGCAGCAGCCGGTGCAGGCAGCTCTCCCTTGGGTCACCCACCCAAAGGGGTGATGGGGCTGGGAGCCGGAGCAGGAGAGCTCCAGCCCCAGACGATGGCCCAGGGTCTCGAGTTCCCCCGGGGATGACCGTGCCCCCCTTTGTGCCAGTCCTGGGGGGGGCGCTCCTCCTGGGGCAGCGAGGGTCAGTCCCCGGGTTTGGCCGGGCTCACCCCATTGCAGCCCCGGCCGCGGGTCTGGGCTCCCCGAGGCTCACAGCTGCCTCCTCCCACAGCCTTGGCGGGGACACAGCTTACACGTGGGGACCCACCGCCGGCCCCCGGCTACATGCGGCGGAGGGGATGAGCGGGACCGCAGGCATTAGGGCTGGCAGCGGGTGGCCCGGGTGGCTGTGCGGGACGGGGCCATCCCCATCCCTCCCCTCCTGGCAGCAGCAGCACCGACTCCACATCCCTGGCCCAGCCTGATTATCCCCAATCCACATCCCAGCCTGCAGATAAACAAAGCGTGTCTGGTTCCCCCCCCCCTCGCCGACCCTCCCCCGGGCAGACCCTCCCCTGGGCCGCTTACATATTCCGACAGCTTCACACTGGGACCATCCCGTCATTAGAGGGTCATTTGCAGGAGCTGTCAAGGGTGGGCGAGGGAGGTGTGGGGCTAACCCCTGGCAGGAGGCAGATGCGCACAGAAATCTGGCGATCCGGGCTCTTGATGAAATGAAATTAAATGTTTTGGCCTCTTCCTCCACAGGTTTGCTACTCCCTCTCAAAAACTGTTGTCACACCAGCAGACACCCCCTTGCCCTCCCCAGCCCCCCGTGTCCATCAGCCTTGCTGGAAGCTGTATCTTTGCGATCTCTGCCCCGCCATCAAGCCCGTTTGAAATAGAGCAGCGGGTTCAAAAGTTGTCGTGGGGCAGGGGGAGGCAGACAGCCGTTCCCTGGGAAGAGCCGGGTGGAAAAATAAAGTCTGAGATTCCAGGGCTGTAAGGAAAACATCAAAGCGCGGACGGCTACAATAAAGCTGCACCGCCGTGCTTAGGCAAGGCATCTGCTGGGGAGCCCGGCTTTGCAAGGCTTGGGCTGTGAGCGGAGACCTAATCTCTGAGCAGAGAGAGCTCTGCTGCCTGGCCCTTCTCCTGCCCCAATACACATCAGCTGTGTGACAGAAGGACCCCAGACACGCAGGACAATAAAGCGGGGGGACAGCTCCAGCCTTGCTGCGGGCTGCCTTCCTGCAGGCACCGCCAGGCCCTGCGGACGGCACCTTTCCAGCGACAGGCATGACCCTTCTGCATCCCGGGGCCAGAGGCTGCTGGGGCAGGGACACTGCACGGGCGGTGGGACAGCAGGAACAGGACACGGAGGCTTTCACCCCACTCCTGCTGCACGGGCAGGGAATGGTCCAGCTGGCACCCACCGCCAGACCCTGCTCTTGCCTCCCCACTCAGAGATGCTCCTGTAAGCCTCACCTGGGCAGAAGGGACTGGTTTTTGCACCAGTTTCTCAGTGGGAGTTTTACTGCAGAGCAGAAACCCTACAGCGAGTGCTGAGGCAGTGGAGCCTCCTCTCGTTGCCCTCCCAAAGGTGTCGTGGAGCTGGCAGGGTCCCTGCTCTTGAAAGGACTGGCTTGGCTTTAGCATCCTTACACATTGGCATGGAAAGGATGGAGCCTTCCCGATGCAGGGAAGGTTTTCTGGCAGGAAAAGCGCCCTTGGCTGTAACGGGAGCGCTGCCGACTGACGCTGCAAGACTTGGATGCGAGCAGCGACCGCTCGGGGAGCACTGGAGCGTGGGGCAGCCGCAGTCCAGCCGGGATCAGGACAGGGACCTGGGAGCCTGCCTGCCTCCCAGCTTCCCTCCGCTGTGTGCGGGGCCGGACCCCACAGCCTGCGCACTCCCTCCCGAATGCAAGCAAGAGCAGCGTCCGCTGCACTGTGCTGTACACGCAGGGGCTGCCAGCGATGGCAGCAAGTCGCAACCACCACCTGCCTGTGTGTGAGCTGCTGCCCGCGCCTCGGGAGGAACAGCACGCGGTCAGGGAGGGAAGGTAGGCACGGTTTACTTTGGACGCATGAGGACAGAGTGAGTGAGAGCAAACAGACCGAACGGCTTATCAAAGGCCCAGGGTAATATTTGTACAAACGGCGGATTAAGGCACTAGCTGGGTCAGGCAAGTATTGTTCATCCCTTGACCAGGACACGGAGCGGGACGCAGGCATGCTGGGCACACTGCACTGCCCTGCTTGAGACAAAAAGGGGCAGGGACAGAAAATGCAATGACAAAGCCAACACTTGTCCCTCGGACCTCCCCGGAGCATCCCAGCTGTGCGAGGCAGCCACCCACAGCTGCCTCCCCTCCTGCCGTGCGTGCAAGGGCAGCCACGCAGCAGCCTGCGCTCGCCTGGGGGCTCAGCCTGCAGCAAAAGCAGCTCCTCAGCCTGTTAGTGCAAGCGCTGGGCGAGGAACAAACCCCGGCCAAGCGGGGATCTGGCTGGGAAACACTGAGCTGCTCCTTACACGGCTTAGGCAAGCTTGGAGCATGAATGCATGCAGGAGACAGATCCAAAACCACCCGTCTGAAGGATGTGGCACTGGCTGGGGGTGTAAGGGAGGGAGGCGAACTGCAAAGGACCGGAGCAGGGGATGCCGAGACCGCGTGGTCCCATGCCACGGACGGAGGAGCTCAAGGCACGGGCTTGGGATGAATTGCACCAGAGCAGACGTACACGAGTGCCACGTCAGTGCGTCACGCGTGCACAGCTTTGGTAGCGACTCGCTCTGACCCCAGCGACTGCGCTGATGTGCCCATGGCCCCAGGGCCCCTCACCGGGAAGCCAGCAGGAGCCCTGACCCTCCTGGCTGCCCTCTCGCACCTGGCCGGGTGCTTTGCAGGGTGCTCTCCCGCTCTCCGAATTATCGGCTATGAATTGCTGTCGGAGGCACCTGGTGCTTTGATGCTCCCCCCAGATCTACATAAGCACGCAGATACCGATGCAAAGCTGTTGCGGGCATGGACAAAATACTTAGCACTTAAACACTTGTTACCCTCTAGTATGGGGGTGGGAGGGAACAGAATTTAAAAGCATAGCTTGCAATAGCTGACACTCACTCCAAAAAAAACCATGCAGTCACTTTCGTATCGACATAAAAACCCCAAGACCACGAGGCTCCCGTCCACATCTGGGCCACTGCGGGTCAGAAACTCAGCAAAAAAAGCAGCAAGGCTGAAATCACTTTGTTTCTCCCCAGAGAACCGCCTGGATGTGCAGCCCTTAGCTCGGGATGGCACCACGGTGGGGGCCCCCCCCGAGAGGGGCCCAGGACAGTGCTGCCGCCCGGGTCAGCCGGGGTCACCGGCACCACGTCCCCCACCGAAACCTCACCCCCGGGTAACTGCCCGGCAAAGGGGAGCGGGCGCAGAGCGAGTGCCAGATCGCACGGCTGCTTTGCAAACGGCAGCCCTCGGCCCCTGCCCGCCGCCCCGTGCCAGCCCAGCGCCGCGGCTGGGTACGGCCGAGCCACGCAGGCAGCCTGCCAGAAGGACGAGCACTCGGCAGGGCCCGGGAAGCTGCACAGAAAGCCCTACCGTTTGCTTTAAAGGTAGCCAAAGCGGGTGTTACAGTTGTGGAAGAGTATTTCAGGAGAGTAAGAGGGGTAAAACCCCATCCCGTGCATAGAGCTCCTTTTCCAACGAAACCTATTTGCCAGGGGTTACATCCACACAACGCTTTCCATTGTAAACCCACGCTCAAGCAATAATTACAAACATTTCGGTTAGGACAGAGCAGGGGAACAAGCTTCAGTGCTGAGTGCGTAGACTTAATTATTGCAAACACCCCACAAGTCTGTCGTGGCTTTTTTAGTCTACCCTAAAGTAACCGGCTTTGGGCGAATTAACATCAAGAGGGTGAGCTTTCTTAGAACCAAGTCTTCTGCTGCCTCCCCCAAAAGCAAAGCCGGAGGTTGCCGTGACGTGTGGTGACCAGAGCAGGAGGGCTCCGAGGACACGTGGATCTGAACTGCTGCACAATGCCGTCAGCAACACAACAATCTAGTAGTGCCATTTCTATCGGAAAATATTAATTTAGCGAGACAGACAAGTCAGCGGCAGCTGCAGGCCACAGCGCTTATTCCAGCAGCCACAGCAGCTCCTCTCTAAACACACACCATAACAAAACCCAGCAACTGGTATGGAGTTGCAATACTGATAAAGTGACACCTGAGAGCAATAAATTTGAATCTGTTCCCATTAAGGTTTCAGAAAAACACTTAATCTTATCTTAAAAAAAATGCAAGTTTATCTGCAGCAATTGCTTTGTCTCTGTTTCTTCTGTTACTCATTATTAAAGGCTTGCATATCATAATGTCACTGTTTAGCTTAATTAGCAGATATTTAAATGCTATCTACCAAGACTGATTTGAACAAGACACTCATTGTCTTTTAGGAAGTCTGAGGTTCAGGCCGCGTCCTCATATGCATTCTCCTTCTTTGAGACCCCTCAACCGCCACCACCACACGATGCCACCGGCAGCAGCATCTCTAAAGCAGTAACGCGGCAGCGCGTTGAGAGGCTGCTCTGCAACACAGACCTGTTAATCTGCGCCGGGGCGAGGAGCGTAGGCGCTTCCTCTGGGGGCTCAAGTTGAACACTCCCACAGTAAAATTACTTTCTCAGATGAAAATTTCCCTCTCAAAACCAGTCAGACTTATTTCTAACCTACCAGTTAAACCCCCTCTTTTCCAAAGGTCGATGTGAAGTCTTAATCCCTGCCCACCGAGTTATGAAAAGGAGAAACAAGTATAAAGAAGCACGAAAGTTTCAGCACGGATCAAAAAACCAGCAGAAGACATCGTTAAGCACTCACTTGCACGCTGGCAGAGATCCGCTCTTTTGGGAAGCCGGAATTGCAGCAGGGAAGCTGGAGGCTCAGGTTGTTCCCCGGCAGGGCAGGAGGAGGCAGCTCAGCGCCAGGGACCCTCTCTGCAGCGCTCAGCTACAGGTGGCTCCTCTTGAACTAATTTCAGCTGCTCCCACACGCAGCCCGACTGAGCCCTGCCCCTCCCGGGGACGGCAGGAGAAGGAGCTCAGACACCTGCGCCACGACCTGGCAAAAGAACCAGCTGGAAACAGGCAGGGGACAGCTTTTGCTGACTATTTCTGGAAGCAGACCCCGGGCACACCAAAACTTCCTGCGGCGACCAGGTGTTGCACCTGGGACATACACAGATGTTTTGCCAAGAGGGCTTAAGGCATCTCAGCCTTCGCCTTTCAGGGGAAACCCAAAAGCGCGGTGTTTACCTCAAGGCTATACACAGGGCCACCCAATCGATTTTTCTGCAACAAGTCAGTAGTTTCTTGCTGGAATGAATCAAGGACAGAAGCCATATTTATTGCATTAACCTCCATACCAGGAGATTCAATGATTTTTATTTCTCCCTTACATTGCATTTCTGTAACTTTTACAGTATTAAAATGATTAACAAAAGCATAAAACTGGAAACAAAAACAATCATTGAGAGTGTCTCCTCCGGCACTCCAAGGCCCATCATCAGCAGGGGCTGCGCTTGCCTCGTCGCACCCACACGGAGAGGCTGAGACTCAGTCCTTGTCACAGGACACACTCTGTTCTCGGAAGGGAAGAAACTGCCTTTCCCAGGAAGCCGGAAGGCACTCAAGGCATGGGCTACTTTTAAGCCTGGCTGGTGGGAATCCTCAAGACAAGGTCCTGGTTCTTCACTGGATAAGCACTCTCAGGGCACATGCTTTAGATGTCCATGTCAAACTGCTCTTCCTCACCTGTTGAGAGGGACAAAAAAACCACCATGAATGAGTCCTCAAAGTTTCACATTAAATACCAAATATTTTATTGAAGAAACAGCTGTCAGCTGTGCTTCAGAGATGTGGCAGTTCCGACTTAAAATCTGGATTCAGGCATCGGGTTTGGTATGAAAATCGTCTTGTACGAGCAAAATGTAAGCTCTGTCCACAGAGGGGATGTTACTCGCAGACAGACAAGGGCAGAAGTAGAGAAGGTGCCCTTTAAATAATTCATTTCTACCCCTGGATTTCCTTGTAAAAAGGAATGCAAAGAATAATGTTGATGACAATCACTGGTATAAAGTTCTGTTACCAAAGACACAAATGCACATTTCACAACTCCCTGTACAGCTGTTACCACAGCTCACGCCGCTTGACAGGACGCCAACGCGAGCAGCGATGGTCCATTCCTGAGGACAGGGCTTCTCTGGAAGAGTCACAACCAAGCCGGCATCCAGCACGCAGTCTGCATTTCACTTTGCCAGAGAATCCAGTGAGCCACTAAAGGTCACAACAGCGTGTAATAAAAAACATTAAGCAATATTGACTCTGGAAAGATTTTGCTTAGAGTGAGCGTGGAAGCCAACTGATGGGCATTCAGATCTTTATTTTTAGAGAGAAGATAATCATACTTGGTAGTTTCAGGTTGCTTCAAGAACTAATCGCACATAGCTTTAGAAAAAGCTGTTCACGAGCAATACTTGCTCATTTTGCTACCACAGGACCTTTAGCGTTGAAGTGCACAGAGTGGCCGGTGACCTCTGTTCTCCTGCGGACTGACCTCTACCTTGCCACCTTGTGCACACCTGCAAGCTCCTGCCGACCCCCGTGAAGACAGCAATGGATGCTGGATAACTGACATATACAAATCAGGTATTACAGCCTCGCTACGTAAATTGAGCTCACTTGTACACCAGAAGCCTTGGTGTCAAAAAAAGGCAGAAGGCATTTACAACTCAGGCTGATATTAAACCCCAAGCAAATCCTACTCTGAATTGTAATCTGATCTTCTGTCAAAAATGGGAAGCAGCTGCAAAACAGCCCAGGACAGAGGGAGGCAGCAACAGCTGCCCCCATTCTCTCACCACAGGACTATGAATCCAGCAGCAGTTTCCCAAATGCTAAATTAGTGAGAATAAAGTGATTATGACAAATTACACTTAACCAATTGGAAAAACATCACATTACTGGGGACCACAGCAGAACCTAATAACCATGCGAACCTAATTACCCCATAAGATCAAGCACACTTTGATTTTGCAAGAAGTTATTAGAGTATTGACCACAGCACACAGGGATCTCCTGGCTCGGGTCCAGGTGTAAACTTTGGTATTTCTAGAAACCGGCAGTGCACTTCACTTGTTTTTTCCACGCACTCACCTGCGCTCACTTTCTCATCACAGTTTTGGACATGGTTGTTCTCAATCTTCAACTCCTCCACGTTTGGGCTTGTAACACCTGGAATGTCCGGAAGGTCAGAAGGTGGTGTTTTGGCAACTGGAGAATCGCGGCACTCCATCAAAAATTTACGATCATAAATAATCCTGGTACCTGGAGGGAGAGAACAACACTGTCAGTTTTTAGCATTTTAATGCATGAAACAGCTAGGCCATCTTCACAGCTAGATGTGTAAAACGGGAGTAATTTAAAATGATACCTTTTATTTAGCACTTACTCTGTTCATTCTGTGCTACCTTACAAGAAAGCCAGATACAATTAACACTATCTGCCAAAAAAAAAAGTATGAAAGAGTCAGGTACCCCAAGTGACAGCTAATGCTACTGGCCTGTGCACAGAGAGAACAAGACTCTGAAGCCCAGACCGATGCTGCATGCGATAGGTAGAAGGGGCTGGGTCTAACTCAAGGTCACAGCAAAACCCAAAGAAACAGTAAACTGAATTTCCTTTCAGCTCATAAACATAACGGGCTTTTCTAAGCTGTCCGGGGCTGAGAACTGTAGGCAGACACAGGTGCACACATCAGGTAACAGGACGTGGCGCTGCCTCCTGCTCTCACTCTGAACATTGCCCAGCAGAAACACCTGCCCAGGCATTTGCTTTTGCGCACCAGGTGCTGGCTGTCCAGCACGCTTACACAGACCTGTCAAAAGGCTTGAGCACAGGGAGCCGTCAATGTCCGTCTGTTTCCCTGCTTAACCAGACCACATCCTCCTCTCCCTGCTCGACGTGGGACGAGCCAGCTCCAGCGCGTTCCAGCGATCCTCCACAGGAGCAGCGCTCAGCTCCAGGCACGGATTTCTAGGAATACCACTGGACTGAACAGCCCGTTCCTTCTAAAGGAATTGCATTGGAAGAAGCTCAAAAACCACACACAGAAAAGGGATCCCTCCAAACAGACCGCAGCCTTAACCCAGAAAGTACTGAAAATCAGTTTTTTCTTCCCCCAGGAGGAGGCCTGCAAACCTCCTCTCTGGATCAGGCCCTTGCTGCTCTGTTCCTGCTCCAGCAAGAGGGAAAGGCAACTTCTTGTGCACTCCCTGAAAAACTTTAACTAAAAATACGCACGTGCAGGGAAACAAGCTCCCATTAACATCTGTCCGGGAACATTAAACTCACTTTATTTTGAAGCATGGCTATAAAATAATGTAGCTGGATATCACGTTTCAAGAAAGTTCTGCTAATGAGCTCCCAAAATGCTGGAAACCTTTTCACTAAAAGACTTTGGATTTGAGTTGCTTCACTAGATCCAAGGGGAGATCAAACCCAAGTCAGAACTGTGCTCTCGCAGTCAGCTGGATTTGAGAAGGCAGGCGGCTAGTCTGCGAGTCGAGTGTTAAATTCCTGGGAGGTTCACAGAGGCGAGGACGGGGCTTCCTAGAACTGCAGCTCATGTACCAAGTATTAGGAGCACAGTTCAGGCGGACAAGAGCTTCCATGCCTGGTTCACGTTCCTCTGGCAGTCACATGCCCAGAGCTTACGAAAGCAAGCGCCCTGCAGACAGCCGGAGCAGGACACCCGGCCGTGGCTGTCAACAGGCAGAGCCCGAGGCCATAAATGGGCTCCTTCCAACATGTAAAGCTGAGTTAACAGCAGTTCTCATCCTGTTGTAAGGGAGAGTATTTGGTATGAAAGACTACACCCCATGGGAACTGCTCTGCTCCCTGAAAGCCCTGGTTGTACCACGGCTTCACCACCCGAGTGCCTCACTCTGCAACTTGGAAAGTCCGGATGAGAATTTGGCTCACTTTGAGTATTTTCATCAGGATGAAACACTAGGTTTGAAGAAGTTTCCAGTACAACACCTCGTTCCTTTCCTGCTCCCTGATGGAGCACAGGCTCCGTGAGCGGCGCTGCTCTAAGAGCCATCCCATCCCCACTCAACGAGCCAACGCCTCCGTGGCCGAGCCGGCAGCGCCGGAGGCAGCTCCCTCTGCAAAAGGCACCAGGAGCGCCAGCAGATCGCCGCCCACCCTGCATTGCTCACGGCAAGCGCCACAAGCACTGCAGCCCGCCGTGCATCTCGGCTCCTGACAGATCAAGCTGCTGGGACTCCCCAGATACTACTGCACGTGGGCTTTAAAGACAGCGTGTGCGTGTGCCCTCGGCAAGCGGGCGAGGAGCCAGGACGGGCACAAAGGGAATACCGAGAACAGACTACGCTTAAAGGTCACACATCACCTCTTACACGCTCCTCCGTGCTTCTTCATACTGTTGTGGGGTTTTTTTTTACCACTGCTGACTGCTGCAAGAAAAACAGGTACTGCCTGTGCTGGCAGAGGACAGGGAATTTCTTCGTTCCACCATCCCTTCCAGAGGGGATCACAGAGCTCAGAGACCTGTGAAGGTAGCTGAAAAAGGAAAACCAAGTCCTTTCCTCTGATTGCTGGCACCAAACCAAGGCCCAGAAACCACGGCAAAGCTCTGCTTGCTCACATCAGTCCCACGGTGGGCTGTGCCACTCCCCTGCTACCGGGATTAGAGGGAGAATGCTTTAGAGCATAACAAGACGTGACTGACTGCCCTCCTGGGATGGGCCCCTTTTATCCAAACTGTATTTTAGGGTGTCACTTCAACACTTCTGGAGACTCAAAAGCAACCTGCTCAAGAACTTCATCTCAGTGTTGCGCACAGTGAAAAATCTTAGGAGGAAAAGCTTGTGTATTCCACCGCAAGCAGCAAAGCCAGACCAGAGTAAAGGTGTTAACGAAAAAGCTTATCTACAAGTGCCTGACAACAGGAAAAGCAAGTGTTCCCCTGCTCTTTCCAAGTCAATAAACTCGCCTGTTAGATGCACGTAACTCAGCATACCGCAGCTGTGGAGTACCACCTTTTCAAAAGCCTTCGGTCACCCAGCACTGCTGCTGCGGGTTTCTAGCTCTAGCACCGAGCCCTTTTTCCATCACTCACAGCCCCAGCGCTGCCTACAGCCAAAGGGATGACTTCAGAGATTACAGCCCTCAATTCTTCTCTGAAATTAGTCAGAGGTTTTGCATGACAAACTTGATTTGCTTCTCTCTTCTGATTCTTCAGATTTAACCTACTGTTTTGCAGGAAATCTCAGACTTTCTTCAGTGGGCTACATATGTTGAACATTTTCAACAAAAGGACCTAAAACAAGTGCTCCTGAAACACAAGATTATTTATCTTTACAGCAGTCAGGGCTTACACGCAAAGGAGTAATGCAAAGTATTCTGCCCGAATCAGTGGATACGGGGGTTAGCAGAAAACACATGAAGAGGGCCCGGCCCAGGAGCAGAGAGGCTCTCCGAGTCCAAGCTGGCGTGGCCCTAGCACTCTTTAAAGTGACACTTTAGTGCATTCATCTGGGGAAGTCTGCCGTGAAATGTATCGATAACGTTTTCATGAGAGCTCTTCCAGACTGTACGGGACAAGGAATTCTTTGGAATAGTGGCCACGAGGGCAGACCAACAACCCAAAGCTAACAACCCCTCCCAAGTCTTTGGGGGTTTTAAATCATTCCTCCTTTTAGCACCCGGACCCAGCACCTGAAGGCAAACAGCCAGCGCCTGCAGCTGGGCCTCGGCAGCGCGAGCTGTCCTCAAACGGGCTGGGGACAGGCTAAAGCACCGTGCAGTCACAAGAGCGCTGTGGATTTTGCCAGGTGCGCACACCCTAACAATAAACACCATTTGCATTTCTCCTCCACACTCTAGACACTCATTAACTCTCCAGAGACAAACAGCGATGATAATCCTGGAAGGCTCATTACGCTGCACAGCGCTGTTAGCTGTTTGTTTCTGTTCTGTTACTCCGAGCTCATGAATATAGCTGAGAAAGTCATTCTCATTCTCCTGTCTTCCACGGCATAATTACTGCAAGTGCTATTTAAGTACTTCAGTTATTTGCTGCTTTCAGAGACAAGAGAACATATGGCAAAAATAACACAAGAATTTCAGTTCCCCAACCAAGCTTTTCTGCACAAACACAAAAAAACCGAGTGAGTCAGCAATGCTGACTTCCCCCTTCTCTCTGAATTTTAACCCCTGAAATATTGTGTTGTGCAGAGACCAGTAGGTCTGAGGGACGAACAAAACATCATCCACCGCCTCCCGGCCAGCTTGTTCTTTTGGCTGAACTTCACGTACAGTTTCATCGTTCCTGCTGCTCACATCGATCTTTTATGTAGCAGCATGGGGGAACCATTCTTAAAGGTATGGAAGAAAAATTTATCTCACACCACTGACCAGTGGGAGCGCAGGCAGCTGCCGTAGCTGGAAATACAGACAACTGATCTGGTGCCCGGTGTCATCACCTGGAACAGCAGCCACTTGTCTCAAAAGCCAAACTACTCAACATAAAGAGACGCTCAAGCAAGCGATGTGGACGCAAAACCTTTCAGACGGACGAGCCCTTTAGGGAGCTTTGCAGATTACGTCCCTGCTGTCGTACGCGGAGACAGAAGACACACGAGGTGCAGCTAAGACACGTGCTGAGCTTACAGGTTGTGTACTTGCAGCCCCCCTTAGCTGCCCCCGCTCTGAGCGGGCAGCGAGCACAGCTAACTCCCACGATCAGTTCACTCTTCTTATTTGAAGATCAAACCCCTAGAAGATGCCACTCCTGGTAGTCACACGCAGCGCAGCCATCAGGGCTGCACGAGACTTGCAGCAAAGAAAGAGGGAGCCAGCCCACCCTCTCTCTGCGGCAGAGGAGCACTCTGCTTTCAGAAGTTCGAGCAACAAAAAGGCCCCGGGGTTACTTACTGCCAGAGGAAACAGCAAATATTAGAGATTAGAATTAATAAGTAACCCAAACTGGAGGTCGGGTTTGCTCCCCGCAAGGCCACCCAGGAGCGCAAACAGCAGCCTTGTTCTCCCGCGCAGATGCTGTCTCGCCGCTCCGGCCCCGGCGCGCTCTCGGGAGGGTGGAAGCCCCCCGTCCCCCCGGCTTTCCCCCACGGCACAGCAGCGGCCAAGCTCCCGGGGAAGAGCCCGGCCCTGCTAAGCCAGACGCCGGCCCGGGGAGCGGGGACCCACCCCGGCCAGCACCCGGGGCCCCCGTGTCTCCCCCACAAGAGGGGAGCCCCCCGCGCCACAGCAGCCCTGAAGTGCAAACGCCCACGCTGCTGCTGCCCAAAC